AGGGCTTTATTTTGGCTTACAAGTCCTTAGAGCCAGCAGCAGCCAGAGCTTGAGGTAACTGGTCACATCAAGTCTGTGGTCGGAAGAGAGCAGCAGAGGCGTGTGCGCTTGTGTTGAGCTCCCTCGTCCACTGCGGCAGAGTTCAGGATCTGCAGCACAGGGAACGGTGCTACCCACAGTGGTAGGGTCTCCCACATCAGGCACCAAAGCAGAGGTAATCCCCACAGATGTTGCCACAGGACAACCTAATCTAGACAATCCCTCCCTGAGATACCCCATCAGTTGTGTCAAGTTGGCAATTAAAAGCCACCGGCACGATATTACTGCTATATTCTAGAGGCTTAAGCGAGATAATAGCTTTTTAAATTTTATCTTAATTTAAATTAATGTTTATGGATGGGTGCCTTGCCTGAACAGACGCCTGTGTACCCTGTGCATACCCTGTGCCCCCAGAGGCCAGAAGAGGGCGCCAGAGTCCGCGGAAATGGAATCACAAATGACTCCGGCCATGTGGGTTCTGGAAATGGAGTCAGGTCCTCTGGAGGAGACTCTGCTGAGCCACCCTCTGGCCCCAGTAGTTTTATTTCTGCAATTTCCCCATTATATGCCAACTTTCTTGGTCTCTGCCGTGCCCTTCTAGGCATCTATTGCTTATGGTTAAGAGTGGATAAAAATATAAAAGGTTGTTCTTCCCGTGAGATCTTTCCATTGGAGGCAAAATGGAAGAGGCTGTTAGCACCTTCCCAGGACAGCCACAGGGAAAGACTCCAGAGAGAACTTGTCCCCTGCCCGCCACACAGCGCCCGCAGATCGGCCTCCTTGTGGTACTGCTCTCCACCTTACACAGCACGGTTCTGAACGAAAAGCTAGAGAGGCCGTGTTTTGTAATAACAAGTTAAGAACAGAATTGTCCCCAGTGTCTCTGTCCAGAAGACCACAGAGCCGTTGGACGCAGCCGGTTTCTGCTTCTGCAGGCTGCACCGTTTGCTGTCAGTCTGGCAGGGCTCGCCTGTGATTGTGGGGTTGGGCAGAGGTGTTTGCTCTCATGAATTACATTTAGAGACGTTTCTCTCTCCCAGCTTTCATTTGAAATATGTGAGAAGTTAAATTAAGGTTGACAGGTAGTGGCACATGTCTTTAATCCTAGCACTCAGGAGGCAGAGACAGAGGTAGGAGGATCTCTGTGAGTTCAGGGCCAGCCTGGTCTGCAAAGTGAGTTTCAGGACAGCCATGACTGCATAGAGAATTCCTGTCTCTCATGCTCCAGAAGATGCCCCAGTCATATAACGTAGATTGTACTTCCCCATTTTCTTCTTTATCCCCATTTTGTTGAGTTAAAATACAGTTTTCTTTTATCTTCAGAAGCAGATACATGTCCTGCATGCTACTCTAAAGCAAGGTAAGATGCTACTAATTTAAGCGTTTAAGGCAGTCTTTAGTGGATACAGAGAAAAGAAACTAATATTTGTTGTATATTCTCTGGGCTAGATGCAATATGATGTACACACCACTTGCCATCTCAGGGAAATCACAGATTGTATGCAAAGTGTCCAGTTATAACATACTTCTCATGCTGGACAGTGGTGGCACACACCTTTAGTCCCAGCACTCTGGAGGCAGAGGCAAGTGGATCTCCATGAGTTCAAGGCCAGCCTGGTCTACAGAGTGAGTTTCAGCACAGTCATGGCTACAAAGAAAAAGAATGTCTCCATACAAACAAACAAATGAACAAATAAAACTCCTACTACTCCCAATAATTGGCCACTCCCATTTGAAGGACAGCTTACCTGGCGCATAATCCCGCCATTGTCATGTGCCTGACCTATGATTTAATTGCCTGCCTAGCTATATGATGTGGTCTCCTCCTCCTCTGCGTAGACTGAAAGGGCAAAAATACAGGTCTATATAACACCAGTTCAGAAAGTCAAATTTTGACACAACATTGAGTTTTTCTTCCATGCTCCATCATAACCCGGTAATTTAAGGTAACGCTGTATTGGGAAGCCTTGCCTCGCTTGTAGCAGAGCTCTCAATGACGTGTGGTCATAGTACATAGTTGTGATACATAATTATTCTATTGGAAGTGAAGAATATTTGCATGCTCTAGAAGTAATATTCATATTCTCTTTGGAAGATATTTCCATTGACTTTTCTACTTGCTGATATGAGCTGCCATATCAGGTTAGTTCCTCTACCACTTTTTCCAGTCTATTTTCTTTTCCAATGAATATACTACCTTTATGAGTGATTATTCCCTTTGGCTTATCTTTTATTTATTTATTTTTTTATACCTGGATGCTAGGTATTCCTTTGCCTGTACAGTTTCCTAACTTTAGGGGATGCTGGAGACTAAGCAAGCTGCCCACAGTTACTTGAACCTGTGTTTAGAATCTTCTCCACATGGCTGCTGTGTTGGAGAACCTGAAATGGAGAGATTCTGCAATGACTCCTTTGGATATACTGCGTGGCAGCAATGAGACGCATGTCAATGAGACCCTTAAGTCTATGGCCAGGAGCTCCCCTCAGTAGTGATGAGTCTCAGTAGGATGGCAGGTGGACAGAGAGAATCCCAGGGAAGAGGGTAAAGAGCTCACTCTGGGCTATCCCAGCAGCGTTAACAGAATGGGGTTGGTAAGGAACAGGTCATGCATGGTGATAATGTGGAAATCCTTGATACAGAATGTTGGAGGATCTAGGAGAGCACATGGGAATAACGAATGCAGGAGTTCTAGGGAAAGGCTCTTTTTTATTAGACCGAAGAAGCTGACAGAACTCAAGGTTTCTGTTAAATGATGCTCGCGTAGTTTCAGGTGGACGATGAGTCTACCAGGTAGAATTTTTCTCTCACCTACTTCGTTGTTAATTTATACATGGTCACCTAGAAAAACACAGACTGAATTAATGTCTGAGAGAAATCATATCAGGTCAACCTGTGGCCGGGTGCCAAGATCCCAAAGTGTTTGGCAAGCCCAGGAAATAAGGCCTGTAATCTCAATCGCTTCAGCTGGTCCTTACCTCAGGAGCATGCGTTTTTCACAGGCCTGAGGTGTAAAGTCGGAGAAGGTGTGGATTAAATGCATTGGTGATTGACTGCAGGCCACCAATAATGCGCTGGTGTCCCCTTGAGGAAAGAAGAGAAAACACTTTCCTTTGCAGGCATTTAACCAAGAATGGCCCATATTTGAGATCTCTGCTTCATGCCCCTGTGTGTGTCTCAAAACTATTTTTTTCTGTCTTTATTGAAGAACCCAGAAAGCATCACACGAGGAAAAAATGAGATACAAAAATCTTTAACAGGGCTTACAGGAGATTTAGTCATTGACTGACTGGCCCAGACAACAATCAGTACACAAACATTTAGCAACCAATATCCAAATGCCATGTTTAATATACATACAGACGAACCATCCACACAATAAAATAACAAGTAACAAGTAACCCCCTCCCCTAAAAAGTACTAAATACTCACTTTCAAAGATCGCTTTCAGCAAGTAATACCCATGCATTACCTGGGTCAGGGGCGTGGAAAGGAAGGAAGCATGCCCCGGCGGTGCTGAAGCCTGCATGGGCAACACATTTATACTGGGTTCCATGGTCTGTTGATGAGGATGACTGCCCAGGTCTCTTCCTCAAGGAGCAGGTTCCACTGAGACACGAGCTCAGATCGCTGGATTCAGAGTCCAGAGCTGGTGCACAGGGGCATGAAGTAGTATATAATTTAAGGTTATAACCATGCTTTAGTGTAGGTTGTAAAAGTTGCTAATATGGAAAATCCAAGCCAAGTGAGGGAGATTTTCATATGGTTCTTTTTAGGGGGAAGGGGTTACATGTTATTTTATGTGCATGGATAGTTTGTCTGTATGTACGTCTGTGTGTGCCTAGTTCTCGTGGAGGCTAGAGGAGGGTATCAGATCTCCTGGAACTGAAGTTACAGACTGTTGTTGGTTGCTGGGAATTGAACCCAAGTCCTCTGGAAGAGCAGCCAGTGCTCTTAACCTCTGAGCCACCTCTCCAGCCCATGGTTCAACAAAGGCTGGGCACAGAGTGGGGCAGCAGTCTTAGTGCTCACATGACCTCAGGGCGTATTATTAACTCTGGCTACGAGGTCCAGCAGAAGTTCATCTTTCTGAACGCAAGGGATATTTTTATCATCACGCATTGACACAGAGAATATGTCTGAGCCCTGAAGAAGGAGGACCTTAGAGTGTGAGTGTTTAGTGTCAAGTTGGGAGCGTAGGCCCCAGTCCCTGGCATCTATCCCAGCCCCCAGGCCTGGTCTGGACTCCAAATCCTGACCCCTCCCAACTTGACATAGGAGGGAAGCGATTCCTGGGAAATTGGAAGCTCCCCCGCATGGCTCCTCTTTCCCCCAGTCCCCCTCTAGTACGGATGTGCCCAAGAGGGATTTTTATTGTTTGCTGGTCTGTGAAGAGCTGGAATGAAGTGCATCTGAGGAGAATATGGCAGTAATGGTGTAGACAATGTTCTTTGTTGTCCGTCGTCTTTCTGCCATTTCAGAAGTTCTGTCTGGGAGACTCTGTGCTATTTTAAGCTTATGCGAAACATTGGCTTCTTCCAGTCTGTGGTTTCAACTATAAGACTCAAGATGCCCAGTTCTGAATTACAGCCATTACACAGGGGGAGAAGCGAAGAAGGAACACTATATAGTTGAGCCTTGTTTTGTATTTTTTTTTACTACAATCTAGGCAGCAAAAATATAGGTGTCCTAATAGCTGGGTTTTCATTTCAGCCTTCAAGAGAAGAAATATGTGAAGACAAATCATTTTGGGGCTCTGCCAATATAAGGTCTACCATTCTTTGTCATGGATATATGAAAAGGTCCTCATAAATAAGTAGAGAATGAAGGAGAAAGGCAAACACTAGCGTGTTCACTTGGTTTTTTAAACAGAGGTCAACTTTAAATACCTCTTAAAGAAATGGCATCTACACAGATAACTGATAACTGAAATGCCCCCTTCTTGTCCATTTTTATTCTTCAGCCTCGCCCCCACACCTGGAACTTCCAAGCCCACAGCAGCAGAAGAAGAAAATAGCGTCAGCTCCAAGGTAAAATGCCCCTTTGTGAGATTAATTTTCTCTTTCTGAATTTGCATTTTTTTTATCACTTATTCTTAAACTCAGCAATGGTCTACTATCACTGCATCTCAAAAGTCGACCAGAGAAAAACCTTTATGTAGTTATGACCAGTTGGGTTTGGGGGTTTGGTTTTTTTTTTATCTTACTCTGAGAAATGCCAGAGGTAGGTAGATACTCTGAAGTGGTGGGCTTGGGTTCAGGTCTGAAAACACGGAGTGGAAAGAATTTATGAAGAACATTTTTTTACGGTAAAGCAAATCTAAAATCTGAGCTACGAACTTTAGGATAAATATACGTTATTGTGGTTTCATTTATTTTACTTGGGGCTGCAGAGATGGCTCAGTGGTTAAGAGCACTTGTTGCTCTTGCAGAGGACCCAGACTCGGTTCCCAGCACCCACGTGGTGACTCTCATCCATCTGTAACTCCAATACCCCGGAATCCGAAGACTTATGACCTCCTCAGGCACCATGCACGCACGGGTGCACATACATACATGCAGGCAGACACTTATACACATAAAATAAAACAAATGTAAAATGATTTAAAATGAAGAGTTTACTGGTGTGACTTTCATTATGTTCCTGTTTCAGAGTTGTAAGGAAACTGAAAATGTATCAGACATTTGATTAATCCCTTTGGCTTCAGAACTGTCCTTGGACGTAGCTTCTTTTTCCTCCCAAACTTTGTATTCATTTCATATTGTTTTTGATAGAATGTGTTCTTGGTTTCAACCCTTGTTTCTATATGAAATAACATAAGAAATTATGAAAAATTATACCATTACAGCCTATCAAAATTTATACTAGCAATTTTTCTCTATTTTTTTATCGATTTAATTTAGTGTACGCACGCACAGGGCCTAGAGGGTCTGCACAGGGTCTGCACAGGGTCTGCACAGGGTCTGCACAGGGTCTGCACAGGGCCTAGAGGGTCTGCACAGGGTCTGCACAGGGTCTGCACAGGGCCTAGAGGGTCTGCACAGGGTCTGCACAGGGCCTAGAGGGTCTGCACAGGGTCTGCACAGGGCCTAGAGGGTCTGCACAGGGTTTGCACAGGGTTTGCACAGGGTCTGCACAGGGTCTGCACAGGGTCTGCACAGGGTCTGCACAGGGTCTAGAGGGTCTGCACAGGGTCTGCACAGGGTCTGCACAGGTCCTCTGCACGTGTTATTACTATTAGCTGAGTGTTTCTGTGTTGGGGAAGCTGGGTGTCTGACTCCTTTGCCTGATCTTGGGACTCTTTTCCTCTTCCTGGGTGGCCTGCACAGCCCCAGTGTGAGGACTTTTGCCTTGTCTTTTTGTAGTTGTTTTCCCATGTTTGGTTGTTGTCTCTTGGATGCCTGCTCTTTCCTGACAGGAAGAGGACAGGGAATAGGTCTGGGGGAGTGGGAGGTTGGAGGGCTGGGAGGAGTGAAGGGAGGGGAATCTGGTAGGGATGTACTGTATAAGAGAAGAATCTATTTTCAACAAAACAATAAAAAGTTTGTAGAACTGGATAATACATTTTTTGCCCAAATAGCTACAAACTGTACAAGAAGAGATTCAACTATTAAGGAAAAATATAATTTCTGAATATTCGTGCTTAGGTGGTTTTTTTTTTTTTTTTTGGTTTTTCGAGACAGGGTTTCTCTGTGGCTTTGGAGCCTGTCCTGGAACTAGCTCTGTAGACCAACCTGGTCTCGAACTCACAGAGATCCGCTGCCTCTGCCTCCCGAGTGCTGGGATTAAAGGCGTGCGCCACCATCCCCCGGCCTGTGCTTAGTTTTAATATCAGCTCATATTCTCAGTTTCACACTCTAAGGCTTTACATTTTAGAAGGCTTTTACTTGCTCACATTTTCTTCTGAAGACTTCTGCACATAAAAGCTAGCGGAGGATAAGAAACCGACCTGATGTGGGTCACACTTAGTTCCTAGAATGAAGTTTCACACAGAAACAGCATCTTAATATATTTCATGTGAAGGAAAAGCAGGAAGATAACTAGCAGCTAACTATATCAAATGTTTTAAATGTTCCTTAGATTCAGCACCCTCGCTGATGTCGCAGGTGTGTGCTCTGGGGTGCTGTCATAAAGGAAAAGGGAACGACTTAGAGGAGGGCAAGAAATAGCAGAGATTTGCTGGCTCCTCGGGGTCTTCCAACTCTGACTTTAGACTGCCGCTTTAAATGAGTGGTTCTTAGCATCTCAGCTCTTGTCTTCTTTATTAAATGTGTTTTCATATATACATTGCGGTCTAGCATCCTAAGTTCCAATAACTTTGCTTCATTAAAAGTTGAGGCAAGGGGCTGGAGAGATGGCTCAGGGGTTGGGAGCACTGGCTGCTCTTCCAGAGGTCCTGAGTTCAATTCCCAGTAACCACATGGTGGCTCACAACCATCTGTAATGAGATTTGATGTCCTCTTCTGGCAGGCAGACATACAGGCAGAACACTATAGACATAATAAATAAGTAAATATTTTTTAAGAAAGAAAAAGCTGAAACAATACTTTTTCCCCAACTAGTCTTTTTATTAGAAATGGTTCCGTTTTCATTCTGGAGTAGACAGTTTTGGTCCCCTAACTTTATTTCTCACTTCATAGTAATAAAATGAACCTTTCTTTTATCATTGCAGTATTTACAAAAGTGGTTTTAGCTTAAGAAAAACAATTGTTGCCAGGCAGCGGTAGTACACACCTTTAACCCCAGCATTTGGAAGGCAAAGAGAGGCAGATATCTGGTCTACAGAGTGAGTTCCAGGACAGTGAGGGCTACACAGAGAAATCCTGTCCCAAAAAAACAAAAGCAGAGAAAAGAAAGAACAACAATTATTATTAGCAGTATATAAACCCATGGGTCAATGGTGTCATGACGTGCTTTTCTCTTGGAGTCTGTCAACCCAGTCCTAGTTTGCCTCCTTATTCACTCTAGTGCGGCTGCTGGCTCCAAATTGCTAAGGATTCGCAGTCTTAACAGCGGCAAATATATGCCATTTATTAGATTGTTGTCCAGTTTTAAACTCCATTTGCGTGTGGTTCAGGTAGGAGCTATGCTCCATCAGGATGCTGATTCAGCAAAGGAGCACCAGGGTGATTTTAAAATGGGTTTTGTGTTGGCTTTGTGTTATCACACCCGAGCACTGGGAAAGCGTGGTTTACTGCCACATTTGTATTTAAACTGATCTTAACCTCTCAATATGTTGCCCATATTTTCCTTAGCCTGTCTGGCTCAGGCCTGGAGAGACTGTGCGATGGTTTAGAGCGCTTGTTCTTCACTTCCCAGAGATACGCAGCGACCCGGTGCCCTCCTCTGCCCTCTGCTGGAGCAGACATGCATGCTGTGTGTACACATAGGCAGGCAAAACACTCATTCACATAAAATTCAGACATTTTAAATCTATAAAAACAAAAAATCCATTTGGCTCAAGTAACCTTCCTGCGCACATGCAATGGCTTGGCCTACAGGAGCAGTGCCAGCCTCAACCCAGAATGTAAACATTTAGGAATTATTTTCAAAAGGAGCCTTCTTGTCACATTTTCTTTTAGGTATGTGTACCAGGGCGCAGGCATGAGGATGACCTGCCCATGCTACTGTAGACTGCATCGTCTGCCCTGGATGGCGCGTTGTGTGTGGAATCGCATAACTGACAGTGCGATCTTTTTCCATCTTATTTTTATTTTTAACATTTAGTTTCATGTAGATTTGTGTTATTTAATTTTTTTCAGTTGAGTATATTTTGTGAATAAGTGTTTTGTTTGTTTGTTTGTTTGTTTGTTTTTTTGGGACAGGGTTTCTCTGTGTAGCCCTGGCTGTCCTGGAACTCACTCTGTAGACCAGGCTGGCCTTGAACTCAGAGAGATCCACCTGCCTCTGCCTCCCAAGTGCTGGGATTAAAGACATGAGCCACCAATACCTGGCACAAATCAGTGTTCTTAAACCCATGTACTTTTCAAGTAACTTCATTTCCTCTTCCAAACGGAAGTATTTACTTGTATCCTCTAAGTCATCTGGGTGCTTCAAATGTCACACATCAGGAAGATCATGAAGACACTAAACCTTGCCGTTTCCTGGCCCGTTTCTAACTGTCCGTTTTCCCACCTAAGAAACAAGGCGTTTGGTAAACTATGCTGAACCCCTGAAGCTGGCGGAACCCTCAACTCCAGCTCCCCTGGCAACAAAGCCGGCCTTCCCTGCCGGTCTCAAACTCCTGACTGTTTAGAGCATGAGACTGCAGGATGGAACCTGTGGCATTAGGAGTGGACCAATAGTTATTTCAACGTGGGGAGTCCAGCTGAAGAGAGGGAGGAGAGATTGTACAAACAAGGCTGCTCAATATCGTGACCCGCAGAGACAGCTGACCTGAGCTCGTGGGAGCTCATGGCCAGCTAGGGAGCCTGCATAGGACCAAACAAGCCCCTCTGCATGTGGGTGACAGTTGTGTAGCTTGGTCTGTTTATGGGGCCCCTAGCAGTAGGATCAGGACCTGCCCCTGGTGCTCTACCTGGCTTTTTGGAACCTACTCCCCACGTTGGGATGTCTTGCCCTGCCTTGATGCAGCGGGAGGAGTTTGGTCCAGCCTAAAGGTGATATGTGTGCTTTGTTGACTCCCAGGGGAGGCCTGCTCCTTTCTGAATGGAGGAGGAATGGATGAGGGACGGGTTAGATGGGAGGTGGGGGAGGTAGGAGAGGGAATGGGAAGAGAGGAGAGAGGGGAAATGTGGTTGGTATGTAAAATAAATGAAAAAAAAAACTGATAAAAAGAAGAGATTCCTGGATCATGTATGGTTCTACTGTGGGATTTTGAGGATCCTCTCTGCTGCCTTTTAGTGTGGCTGCGCCCTTTCCCTCTCCCCCTAGGCCGCGCCCCTTCCCTCTGCCCCTAGGCCACGCCCCTTCACTCTGTCCCTAGGCCACGCCCCTTCACTCTGCCCCTAGGCCGCGCCCCTTCACTCTCCCCTGGTGTCATCGGAGCTCTTCCTTGCCCACATCCCCG